AGAAACAAGTGGAATCCATAAAACAGATGCAAACAGATTTCCAGGAGATTAAAAACTCCATTGAAAGTTTACACAGCAGAATGAGCCAGTATGAGGGAAGAATTTCAGATACAGAAGACAGGACTGCAATTAGTGACCAGAAAAATTTCTTAAAAATAGTAAGGGACCATGACAAATCAATCCAATAGCTGCTAAGATGATGCAAAAAAGAATAACATAAGACTGATCGGAGTCAATGAAGAAACAACAGAGAGTGCAGATGACATTAAAAAATCTGTTCACAGAAATAATGGCAGAAAACTTCTCAAGCAGGGGAAAAGAACTTGACATACAGACAAGTGAGGCATATAGGACTCCAATTAGCCATGATAAAAAAAAATCTACATCTAAGCATATAATAGTAAAGATTCCAGAAACCCAACAGAAGAACAAAATTCTACAAGCAGTTATAACGAAGAAACAAATCACATACAAAGCAAAGCTCATCAGAATTACACCAGACTTCTCAACACAAACCCTCAAGGCAAGAACATCTTGGAGTGATGTTATTTCAAGCCCTAAAGGAAAACAGCCTCCAACCCAGACTGATGTACCCCACAAAACTATCTTTCAAAATTGATGGAGAAATAAGACACTTTCATGACAAAGAGCACCTTACGAACTTCATGAATACCAAACTGGCACTCCAAAAAATTTTAAACAATATCCTAGGAAAAGACAATGAGGATCACAACCCCAGGAAGCTCACCAGAATGAATCCATTAGGCATGAGAAGAAATTAAATGCAAAGGGGGAGAATCCAACAAAAAGAAAAAGTAATGACAAGGATAACTCAATACATATCAGTTATAACCATCAACGTTAATGATCTCAATTCACCAATCAAAAGATATAGACTGGCAGAATGGGTCAAGAAGCAAGGTCCAACAACATGCTACATACAGGGAACACACTTAATTCAAGAGGAAACTCATAGACTGAAAGTTAAAGGGTGGAAAACAATACTCCATGCGACAGGAACCTGAAAAAGAGCAGGAGTAGCTATCCTCTTTGCAGATCAAATGTATTTCAAACCAACACTGGTTAAGAGAGCCAAAGAAGGACACTACATCTTTGTAAAGGGAACAATCCAAGAGTAAGAGATGACAATCATAAATATATATGCACCAAATACTAGTGCACCTAATTATATAAAACAAATACTAACGGGCATGAAAAATGAAATAAGCACTAATACAATAGTAGTGGGGGACCTGAATACCCCACTGTCACAAATAGATAGATCAACTAGACAGAAAATAAACAACAAAATACTAGAACTCAATCAAACTCTTGAACAAATGAACTTAGCAGATGTTTACAGTGTTCCACCTCACAAAATCAGAGTACACATTCTTTTTGACTGCACATGGGCTGTTCTCCAAAATAGATCACATATTTGCTCACAGAACATGTTTAAGTAAGTGCCAAGGAACTGAAGTTATCCCCTGTATACTATCAGACCATAGTGTGATGAAATTGGAGATCAATAGCAAAAGGAATCATAAGAATTTCATAAACACATGGAAATTGAACAACACACTTTTGAATAACCAATGGGTCACAGAGAAAATTAAGGAAGTAATCAGAAAGTTTCTACAATTAAATGATGATGTCAATATAACATATCAGATTTCTATGGGACACAATGAAAGCAGTCCTATGAGGGAAATTGATAGCAGTGAATATTCATATTAGGAAAACAGAGTGAGCTCAAATAAACAACCTGATGCTGAACCTCAAGCTTGCAAAAAAAGAAGAGCAGGACACACCCAAAGCTCATACAAGGGAGGAAATTATAAACATCAGAGCAGAAATCAATGTAATGGAGACTAAGAGAACGATACAAAAAGTCAATGAATTGAACAGTTGGTTTTTCTAAAGAATAAATAAAATCAATAAACCCTTAGCAAGTCTCATCAAAAAAGGAAAGAAAAGGCTCAAATCCATGCAATTAGGAACAAAAGAGGAGAGTTGGTTCTTTGAAAGAATAAACAAATTGACAAACCTTTAGCCAACCTTATCAGAAAAAGGAAAGAAAAGACTCAAATCCATGCAATTAGGAAGGAAAAGGGTGAAATTAAAATGAACCCAGCAGAAATCCAGAGGATCATCAGTACCTACCTTTGAGAACCTATACGTCAATAAGATGGAAAACACAGAAGAAATAGACAGATTCCTAGATATGTATGAATTACTCAAGTTGAATAAAGAAGACCTAAAAATTCTAAACAACCCAATATCAA